TGTATAAAACTTATTTCGGTTGGTTACGTGCTGGTTGTATTTATACTGATTTTAAAAAATACGAGCGAATATTTTTTGAATAACTTCTGATAGAAATTTTGCTCATTTTGCATATTGTATTATTATCTTGATTGATTACACTTCTATCTCAAGCCCATTTTTAAAATCAAACGTCCGATTAAAGCTAGATAAATTTTGTCATACTAAGAATGATGTATTTTTCTTTCAGAAAAGGGTCAGCGAATCCAAAGGATAAGCGTTACTTATATCTAATTGACATGAAAAAGAGTTTTTCAAGCTGCTATTACTGAGAATATTATTCATTCTGTTCTGCATCAACGAGATGTTCTGTACAAGACATTTCCTCCGTTTTATTTATGCATATGTATTATTCATTCGAAAAACATTGAAAATACAAATAGAAAATCTGTTCACCGTGGATTGGTATTTAACTGGAAGAAATCATTCGATTAAATCGATTTGTAAATATTTAAAGAAAATATTCGCAATTTTACTTATTCACTCTTTTCGTACAGCACAAGAGAAAACTGCGTATAACTATACAATATATAAAAATAATTCAGGTCAGTCATGCATGGTAAATATCGATATATCGCAAATTGTACCACTCAATGATCAAAACAAAACGACGATTGTCACTTGCTTATACTGTAATTACGAAGATAATTAACATCGTATTCATTGCTATTGACTTGCGTCAGTATGGATGCGGATGGTTTAACAAAGATAATTATACATTTTATTAAACATTAAATATGAATATTCGAACTTTATTATAAATTAGAATGAGTCAGTCGAGAAACGCGTCGATTTCGTTCATAAATTCCTCAGATCGAAAACATTCGAAAGATAACGACAGTGATGTAACAGCAGTTTCAGAAAATGAGTATGTCGTATTTGTTTTATTCGATAACAAATTTCTTTCATTCAGAATTTCAACAATCAAACGAGTAATTGGAATTGGAATATTGATAAGTTTAGTCATAATAATTGCTGTTCTCGTTGTTTATTTCAAATCACCCAAACCTCCAAGTAAGTCTTCTTTTGTATTAGATATGATCAAAGTCTTCTATTAAAGATAAAATGTGTCGATATGCTGTGAAATTTGAAGCTGAGAATTTAATAAATTATGATTCTCATCCAAATGGAATTGCAATTGCTGATTTAAATGATGATGGTCTAAATGATGTTGTTATTTCAAACTCTGATTCGAATCAGATTGGAGTTTTTCTTCGCGAGAATATTCAGACATTTTCCAATCAAATCGTATATTCAACTGGAACTCATTCTCATCCGTATTCACTAACAATTGCTGATTTCAATCATGATCAACAATTCGATGTTGCTGTCGCAAATTTCGGTACAAATAATATTGGAATTTTCCTCGGCAAAGGAAATGGTTCATTGACATTTCATAAAATATTTCCTCTCGGATCATCTCGTCCACGATGGATCGACAATGGTGACTTGAATAATGATTCATTCGTCGACTTAGTTACAGTTAATTATGGAACGAATACTATTGGAATACATTTAGGAGATGGACAAGGAAATTTTCAAAAGCAAACTATTTATTCCACTGGTTTTGATTCTGATTTATTTTCATTGAAGATTAAGGATCTTAACAACGATGGAAATCTTGATATTGTTGTATCGAATTTCGGAATTGATAATATCGGTATTTTTTACGGATTTGGCGATGGAAAATTTACAAATCAAACGAGTTTGTATACTGGATTGAAATCACATCCATATTCAATTGTTATTGATGATTTCAATCATGATGAACATATGGATATTGGTGTCACTCATTCCGGTACAAACCAAATTGGTATTTATTTAGGTGTTGGTAATCAAAGTTTCACAAAAGCAACTTTATATTCAACTGGAAACAGTTCTTCGCCATTATCGATTGCGACTGGTGATTTCAATAATGACAATCACCTTGACATCATTGTCGGAAATTACGAAATTCCAAATGTCGGTATTTTTTACGGAGATGGAACTGGTTCATTTTCTGATCAAATAATATTTTACACGAATAGCAATTGTAATCCACATATATTAATCACAAGTGATTTTAATAATGATACTCGATTAGATATTGCAATTGTTAATTATGATTACAATTATCTCGATATTGTTCTGACACACGCAAAATATGCTTATCGAAACCAACACTCGTACAAAACAGTCGGTGCGAATTCTCAACCATATTCGATAATTAGCGCTGATTTTAACAATGACAACTATTTAGATTTGATTGTTGGTAATTATTGGACTAGTGATATAGGCGTTTTTCTTGGATATGATGGTGAAAAGTTTACAAGTCAAAGAACTTTTTCCACTGGTACTGGCTCTGGACCAAGAGGAATTGCTTATGGTGATTTTAATAATGATTCAAAATTAGATATTGTTGTTGCAAATTATTATGTCAATAATATCGCTTTGTTATTTGGTAATGCAGATGGAACATTTTCAAATCGAAGAAGTTTCTCAACCGGATCAAGTTCTAATCCTTGGACTGTGGCCATTGGAGATTTGAATAATGATTCCCAATCCGATATTGTCGTGACTAATTCTGGTAAAAATACGATTGGTATTTTCATTAACTATGGTAATGGAAATTTTTCAAATCAAAGAACATATGCAACTGGAAATAATTCTCAACCACGTCATGTCATTGTCACTGATGTTAATAATGATCAGATATTGGATATTCTAGTTGCTAATTATGGAACTCGAAATATTGGCATTTTTCTTGGTTATGGTAATGCGACTTTTACTGATCAAACAATATATTCAATTGGAAATAACTCTACTCCATCATCGTTTGCTTGTGATGACTTTAATGGAGATGGTTTAATTGATATTGGAGTTGTTGATACTTACAATAATCAATTAGTTCTCTTCTTTGGATATAAGGACGGAACTTTTCTCTCAACAAGTAAATATTCCACTGGAAGGAATTCTCAACCATATGATATATCTGTTAGTGATGTTAATAACGATAAACAAGTCGATATAATCGTTGCTAATTACCAATCAGATAATATTCTCATATTTTTTGGATATAATGGTGGAAATAATTTTACGATTCCTGAAATTTATTCTACTGGAAGTAACTCAGGACCGTTTGTTCTTATGAATAATGATTTTAATAAAGATGGTCTCGTAGATATTGCTGTAGTCAATTATGATTCGAGTAATGTTGGTATTTTTATGGGATCGACAAATGGAAGTTTTAAGTATGAAACAACGTATTCAACAAGAGGTAGATCTATTCCTCAATCGGTTGCTGTTAATGATTTGAATAATGATACTTATATGGATATCGTTGTTGCAAATTATTATAGTAATGCTATTGATATTTTCTTCGGATATGAGAATGGAACTTTTTCAAATCCAATCAGTTTTTCGACAGGATCCGGTTCTGCACCGTATTTTGTGTGTATTGAAGATTGCAATTCCGATAAGCGATTAGATATTATTGTTGCAAATTATCAAACAAATAACGTTGGAATATTTTTCAATAATGGAAATGGAACGTTTCGAAATCAAATGACTTATTCCACAGGAACCAAATCGGGACCATATTATATCGCTGTTAACGATTTGAATAACGATACTTACATGGACATTGTCGTTGCCAATTATTTAGTGGATAATATTGGTATTTTTTATGGTCAAAGTAATGGTACTTTTTCACAACAAATGATTTATTCAACTGGCGATAGTTCTGGTCCACAAGTAATCGTCATTCGAGATATGAATAATGACGATTGTTTGGATATTGCTGTTGTTTGTCAATATTCATCGAGTTTGAATTTGTTTTATGGTGATTGCAATAGTTCATATTCTGATCAAATTGTTTATTCGATTGGTGATGGTCTGGAACCGAATAGTTTGGCTCTTCATGATCTCAATAATGATTCGTATTTAGATGCAGTTCTTACTACTTACTATGGTCGGGATGTTCGGATCTTATTCGGATCGAGCGATGGAACACTTGGAAATGTGGCGACTTATTCGACTGGCAGTGCTTCACGGCCACGATTTTGTATCATTGTCGATTGGAACAACGACAATTACTTAGATATTATTGTTAGCAATTGTGATACTGACAATATTGTGCTCTTTACAGGCAATACGCATGGAACATTCTCTCTTGAACAAACTTATTCAACAGGTAACAACTCATGTCCAATATCAATGGCATCCGGTTATTTCAATGATGACGATCTCATTGATATTGTCGTTGCCAATTCTGGTACGGATACAATAGGTATTTTCTTTGGATATTATTATATGAATGGAATACGAGAAAAAACATATTCAACTGGAGCATCATCTCAAACACGAGCTGTTGCACTTGGTGATTTCAATAACGATACTTATTTAGATATTGTCATGATGAATTACGGATTGAGTAATGTTGATCTTCTTTTAGGAAATCTCAACTCAACATTTTCCTCACAAACTACATTTTCAACTGGTAGTTTATCCTATCCAACGTCGCTTCTTGTGAATGATCTTGACAATGATGGAACGTTGGATGTTGCGATTGCAAATTCCGCTCTTGGAAACGTTCTGATCTATTATGGATATACAAACGATAATTTCATATATTCGAAAACCTATTCGACTGGAATTGGCTCATCACCACAAGCATTAGCGATTGGTGATTTTAACAATGATAAGAAACTTGATATTGCAGCTGTTAATTCTGGTACAAATGATGTTTTAACATTGTTAAAATCCGATATCGGTGCATTTCGAAAACAAATCACATATTCTACCGGAATGGGTTCCGCGCCACAGTCAGTAGCCATTGCTGATTTCAATAAAGATGATCACATGGATTTTGTTGTTGCTAATACAGATAGCAGTAGTATTAGTATTTTTCTTGGACAAGGAAATGGCAGTTTTTTTGATTCAATAACATATTCAACAGGAAATAAATCCAACCCAGGAGGATTGATGATATCTGATCTAAATAATGATAGTTATCGCGATGTGATTGTTTGTAATTATTGGGGTGATAATGTCGGTGTGTTCCTTTCGTTTGGTGATGGGACATTTAGTAATCAAATTACGCGTTCAACTGGTTATAATTCAGGACCGAATGGAGTTACTATTGGTGACTTTAACAATGATAATCATTTAGATATGGCTGTTAGTCTTGTAGATTTTAATCAAATAAGTATTCTACACGGATATGGTAATGGCTCATTTTCTTATGGAAGAAATTATTCAACGGGCGGAGAGTCTGCCCCATCAGCAATCGGCGCTGCTGATCTTAATCGAGATAAATTTCTCGATATTATTGTCGCTAATTATGGAACTGCGAACTTGTATATTTTTCAAGGATTTGGAGATGGAACTTTCGTCCATATCGATATTTTATCGCTTGGCACTAATGCAGCTCCTAATTCACTTGTTATTGCTGATTTTAATAAAGATTCCATAGTCGATGTAGCTATTGCTAATGGTGGCACAGATAATATCCGAATATTCTTCGGTAGTGCCAATGGTACTTTTCTGAATCAAACAGATTTGTCAACAGGAAAAGATTCTGCTCCATATGGAATTGCTGTTGCTGATTTTAATAATGATAATCAACTCGACATAGCTGTTACGAACTATGGTTATGGAAACTTTGGAATTTTTCTTGCATGTGTTAATGGTACATTTTTCAATCAAATAACTTATACAAGTGGAGATTATTCTCAACCATGGTCCATCGCTGTTGCTGATTTGGATAAAGACGGTCGGTTAGATGTTACTGTTGCCAATGCGGGTACTGATAGTGTTGGAGTATTCTTTGGATATGCTCTCGAAGATTATCTAAGTGCACCATCGTACTCAATCGGATCATCTTCACAAGCTACGTCGATTGCTGTTGGAGATTTCAATTATGATTCTCATTTAGATGTTGTGATTGCGAATAATGTAATGAATAATATTATGATTCTGTTTGGATCAGGTTATGGAACATTTCTTGATAAACGAATCTATTCCACTGGCGATAGTTCTCGTCCGTGCTCAGTTACTGTTGCTGATCTTAACCATGATCAAAGACTGGATATAATTGTTGCAAATTCTGGTACAGATAATGTTGGAATATTTTTTGCAAATGAAAATAGAACATTTGCAGATCAAATCACATATTTTACTGGTATTCGTTCTCAACCGAATTCAGTTGTTGTTTTGGATTTCAATAAAGATACACATTTGGATATTGCTGTGGCCAATTATGGTTCAGGTAACATAAATATTTTCTTGGGATACGGTGATGGAAATTTTAAAAATGAATTCATATTTAATACTGGTTATCGTTCATTTCCATATTCACTTACCATTGGTGATATAAATAAAGATAATTTCACGGATATTGTTGCAACAAATAATGGCTTTGGAAATATTGATATTATTATGAGAACTTGTTGAAACTTTTCTCCATAATTTTTGTCTTTTCGTTTCTGAATAAATAGTTCATATATAGTGGAGACGATGTGATGAATTTCTTTTTACAATTGTCGGAATGTACAGTGTCATGTCATATAAGAACCAGGTGACCGTCAGCTGTGAATAATTTTATGATTTAAACCGGTTAAGCTATCGTCAAGTTCTTCCAGAAACCAAACCTGCACTGAAATGAATCGTGCTTGAAGGTATTTTATGTCTCAGCGTATAGCATATTAAATACTCGCATATATTCTCTTTGTAGTTATCGGATAGCAGTACAGCGAAACGTTCGATTGTGTCATCAATATTTGTACGAATACGAGGCAGCATTCGCATTCATTCGCAATCATTAGAACTAAGTATTTATTAAATAGAGAATTCATCAAAATCAATGTTTGTAATCTTGAGGGTGAGGGTGTGGGTGAGGATGGGTAAAAGTTTTTATGACTGGAATCGAGGTAGGTGGTACTAACGCGAATCGGCCTGCGTTCTTCTACGAGTTTGAAGTTGTTTGAGGGTGTTCTTTGAATGACTTTTTGGGGCGAAAGAGTGATTTTTTTGTAAATTTTATTTTTGGATTCGATAGAGCTGATTAAGTTGTACTTCGAACCACTGTTAGTTCCGTTGGACCCACCCTGAAACGAATCGACTCAAGAAAAAAATCGAATCCTGCTTAGAGATGTCTTACGCTGTTGAACTCAACCGTCTGGTAAAACAAATAAGTGAACAATTCAGAAAAGTTGGAAAAGTATCGCTACCAGTTTGTTCCTTTTTCTTACAGGAAATGCGTCATCGATTTACATAGAACACTGTGCATGTTTTTCCCGAAACTATGTTTGTTTAAAACATACAGATAGCAAGGAATTTTCCAACATAAAATATGTTACACAAATATTGCCTCTCTCCCCCGTATAAAATGTTCTCGTCAAGAATACATTCATTTCAATCTTTGGAAAAAAAGTGTTTCAGTACGTATGATCATAAAATCGTCTTTTATTATCAAGGAACAAGCTTAGAATATTCTTAGAGTCTTGTTTCAAATGTCTCATCATTCAGCAGTCGGCGTCACTTCAAATGATCGATGGACTCTCTGTTGCACTAAAGATTATTTTGAAAGTAATGCAATAACGGCTGAACTTGACCAAAACAAGAGAGTGCGCTGTTGTTCATCTTTACCCGTTAAAATCGAGATTTTCGATTGTCCGGGTTTATTCCCTCGACTGAAAGGAGGGTCATGTCGAAAAAAACGTGGTCAAAAAACGGAAATTCGTTTGTGTGTTTGTGTGTGTGTGTCTGTCGCAGGTCGCAGGTCAAAGGTCAAAAAAACATTTTTTCCAAAAACGCTCAAAACCTCATAAAACATGGTTTCGAAGGATGGTTGAGGCTGGATGTTGGTTGAGAGGGTGAGGACATGTGAGATAGGGTCGATGTTAAACGTACGTTGAACCCTGAGGTCAACGGCCCATAAGAGAATTTCATTATGAGTAGAACAAAGATTAGGTAAAAGTTTTTCATAACTCCAAATGTGCAAGGAAATGTATCATACATCGAAACTGAAAGATTCATTCTCAGAATGTAATGTAACTTGTATTTGTGATAGTAGGAGAATNGCTATTCATGGCAGACTGCTGTTTCATGTGCGAAAAATGATCATAAATAATGGACATTACACAAATAACAAGAACGATGACAGTTGTTTGGTTAGTTTTGAAAAAGGTTGAAATTGACGAGGACCGTTCTCGAGACATCATTTGGAAGCACAAGTTTTATCTGAAGTATAACCCAATCAGTCGAGGGTAATGCGAGTCTCCCTCGACGAGCGTTATTTTATTTATATTCAATGGTTAGCTTTATTGGATGGAATTATTCATAGAATATTACCAGCAATTATTATTTCTATATTTAGTATAACATTAATCATTCGTGTTATTTATACATGTTATCGTATTCAACAAAGAATTCAATGGAGAAATTATAAAAAAATGGCAAGTCAATTAATACCAATATCAATAATTTATATTATATTAGATTTACCAGTTATAATAATGTATACTTTATATGTTAGTGGTTTAGTACCAAGCACTATACGATCAAGTTATTATAACGATAGTTTATTTTTTCTTTATTGGATTATTTTATTTACACCATTTGCAACTGTTTTCTCATTACCTGATTTTTAAAAAAGTGTAAAAATGCTTTGTATTTTTGGAAAAACATTCTGTAGTTACTCCAAAACCAATAGCTATGTATAACATAAAATACAATCAAACAGCTACTTCACGAAAACCTGTAACTACTGCTCAATAATTACCTTTCTTTATACAAAAGAAAAAAAGAAACATTATTATTTGTTTGTTTATTCATCAATAAATCAGCGTATAAAAAAAATAATTATCGTATTTAATCTACGTAAATGAAAGAGAATTAATTCATTATCCATTATATTAGAGTAACAGCATATGAGTCGTTCTTTTTAAATCTCATGAATACTATGCAAAGAGCATTGCGTACCAAAGAAAAATGATATACTCTGATGATAATTAATCTTGAAATAAAAATATAAAATATATAGATGAGAAGATTTTTAGATAAAAATATGTTAATTATCACGATAATGATTTATCATCTTCGAAATAATAGCAAGTGATGTCGGTATCTTTATTTTAAAATGATTAAGGAATAAATTACTTTCTTCTGAGAATGAAAGATTAGAAATATATCCATCCATGTTCACATCTATATTATATAGAGAAAATATGTGTATCTTTTGAGACATTTCTCGCTTGAAACCATCAAATAATGACGGAAATAATCGCAACAGACGACAAAAATTAAAAACTCAGTTTTTAGAGTACGGCTGAGAAAGTTGACATAACTAGTTAGGAGAAAAATGTGGAAATTTAAAGATATTTTTTATAATAAAGTTTATACAGAAGATCACTAATGTTAGTTAGTAGATCAGTGTTGAAGTTGTCTGTTCGCAGTTGAGGGTTTGCTTTGTTCAACCAAGACTAACATCTTTTTCTTGAGGTCTTGAAGTAATAAAGTATGTTGTTCTAGCATTTCATTCATAGTAGACTCTGATTGATCATCATCATTGACCGAAGTTCCACAGCGTGTCAGTATCCAGCGTTTTAATCGTTTATACCAAGGTATTCTCTTCAAATCTTGATAACTGTAAGCGATAGCATCATTCATATCACTACGACACAATACCCAAGCTAATTGGTATCGAAAAATTTCACACTCCGCGACAAGTTGAAAAAATATCAAATTGACATGATCTTCGGCCTGTTTCATCAGAGGTGGAATCTCACCAACGGCCAGTCCTATAAGAAAAACAAATACCATTCCTCAATTAGTTCATCCGTCAAAGATTGCTTAGAGAGTTACAAGTGGCTGATGATGCCACATGTGCAAAATGAAACACCACAGAAACAAGGACAAGTAAAGATGAAAAGTATCCGACGATTGTGAAAAACATATGTCAGAAATATTTGATTTTCATGCTATCTGAAAACTATTTGAGGTCTTTCTCTTTGTCGTTCTCTTCTCTTAAAAAGCAATGTTTCTTACCAATAAGAAGATTAGTGACAAAAATTGTCATGACAACACCGAAAAGAATATAAATGACGTAGGCCACCTTATAATAGGCTTCTGTATCATCGTTGTACATGAAATCGTCAAAATCGAGTTCTCCCGATACCATCATTGCTACATAGTAATTCAGAAAGATAAACAATTAATAGAAATAAAAGAAGATTATTCAAACAGACCTGCCTTAAAGTAAGAAAGACCTGTATTTTTGAATGGTTTGAAGTTTTGAAAGACCATATGAAAACTCAATGCAAACCCGCTAATCAATATAACAAGTATAATCAAAAACTTCATAAATTTTCTCAGAATAACCGTAAGCATGGCAACGTAAAGACCGACGATCGGCAGAAATCGAACGTACTGCAATAGAGCTAACCAGCTGAGAAGTAAGGCAAATGCTCCAATTTCCCACTGAAGAGGACAACGAAAGGTCAAATTCGTTTGGTATTTTTGGTCATAGACAAAAACGAAGGCCAACACAACAGCAGCGATTTCCAGCCAATGGCCAAAAGTTTTCATGACATAAACTTGACTAATTTCAATAATCATGCATAAATCTTTGAACACATGACACCAGATTAGAACGTACAGAATATATTTCAGGACATAGTCAGCAGTTTCCTTCCTACCACCTAAGCCTACTGATCCTGACAGAAGTACTTGAGAAACATTATAGCATAAACTATTGTCAAAACTGTTTATATTTGCAAGATCGTAGTACGCTTGTGGATGGTCTGTGCGTAATGCGACTGTAGTGAAAATGGCGAGGTAGATAATATAGAAAAGGATGAAGAAACAGTAGAGATAAATGCCGAATTTGTTATACTTTTGCTGTACAAGATAAGTACTGAGTGGATGTGCCATAAGATCAGTAGCTTCACAGGAAGCCATTAGAAATAGTGGATGATTTGTGACGAGATCGATCGTTTTCGAAGTGTACAATTTACTTTGCTTGTCAATATTCTTCTTCACTCCAAAATTACCTTGAAAGAAACATAAGATTTCCGATTATTTTCTAATCAAGAGCGAGAGAAAAACGATCTACTGCTCATAAAATAAGTAAGAACATCAATGATTTACCTTCTTCCCAATCCTTAACAGTATATTGATCGTCTAGAAATTCATAAATGTAGATCTGATTGAAGACTTTCGTTTCTTTGTTGCCCACTTTGAATGAACATTTTTCGAGCATGAGCAAAGCCATGTTGGGCATTTCACGGATAAGTTTCCGCATAGGTGTATCTGCTATCTTATGACAAGTGGAAAAGCAACTCCAACTTCGTTTTTCTTCTCGAATTTGTGCATTGCGCATTAGTTCTAGAGCATCCTCGTGTTGAATTAAAAAGCGAACAACCTCTTCGTTCCCTTTTATCACAGCCAATTCAAGACAATTATAACCATCGATATTTGTGTCGAATAGATTGGCGCCAAGTTCAAGTAAACATGTAAAAAGCTCACTAGAACCATATTCACAAGCGATATGTAATGGTGACTCTAGCCGAATATTCATGGAGTTGACATTGACATGACCATGTTTGACGAGACTTTCGATACATTGCGGTCGCTCTTTGTTATCATTCTCCTGCATACTACAACGTGCGGCATCATGCAACGGGGTGCAATCATTTATATCACACGCATGTGCATCAGCACCATGGTTGAGAAGAAGTTCTACAATATCTAAATGACCTGTAAAAAAAAGCAGTAACGACTATTGCTTGAATATACCATTTCAAGGACAATAAATGTGTGGACGCGAAAACGGTTGCAAATGATGGAATAGAGAAGAAATAGAAGACTAATTGTAAATCCAATAATGAATTCTTAGAGTTCTGTGGACATTTCCTCAGCAGTTACAACCTTCCTGTTTGCCAGTTTTAGACTATTACTGAACTAAAGTGATCGTTTCTTTCTCACCTTTTTCCGCTGCCATATGCAAGCTTGTGCGCCGCTGATCATCGTATTGATTAATCATAGATACATGAACAAATTGGAGCATTTCCTTGATAACATCTAAATGGCCATGATGAATCGCTTCATGTAGTGGTATTAGTTTGCTATTATTCTTTTTAGTCAGCATCGCCCAAACGTGATTATTCAATGGTGATGTTTGGGAAATGATTTGCCGTGTCTTTTGATTAGAAGGCTTTTCTGGTGGTCGACCATTGGAATCTAGATTGGTCATCGAGCGATATGTAGGATGATGTGAAATAGGTACTACGGGCGAAATATTCTTTTGAGCCATATAATGTAGCAAGAGGCGAGTCATGTGTGTATTGCCTACTTGAGCACAAACGTGTAAGGGTGTATCGCCATGCACATCGGCAGCAACTGCTAAAAAAACAGACATATATGGACAATTAAATATCGCTGAGGTGATTTCATCTTGATTGATTTTTGCACAAATATGTAATACGTTGGATAAAGATGTGAAACTAATCAATTCAAATGCGTCTGATGTGAAATCTTCATGGGCAAGTAGTTCTTTAACACATTTCAATTGTCGATGTTGGATAGCTATCATCAATGGACTAAAGCCACTTTGTTGGTCTTGGTACATTATACTTTCCCGATTAATCAAATGCGAAATCATTTTATCACCATGTAATTGTCGACAGGCAAAATGAAGTGTATTGATATAACTATTGAGCATATGTTGATATTGGTTTTTTAGAAAGGATAAGACTTCGTTTTGATGATGGCGGGCAGCTGCTTGCACTAGATCAATAACAGCTGCTTTCTTATTGTAAACTTCTAATTGTCTAAATTTCAAGAGATGTTGGATAACTTTAAGATTACCATGCTCAGCCGCCACATCAATAGGTCGCTTGTTATCACGCGTTTTGTAGTCTAATAAAGATTCATCACGACTGAGCAGCTGGATCATCTCAATTATCTTCTCATCCTGATGAAAGCGACACGCGTAGTGAAGTGGAATGGCTCCTCGAATGTCAGGAACCTAAAAGCAGATGTTATGTTCTAGACAGATTGGGTCAATATTGACGCTTAAGCTTTCTGTTAGCATTATTAGATAGGAAAAGACCTGATGCAGAGCAACTTACGTCAAGTTTTGCCCCATATTTCATGAGACATTTGGCACTTTCAAAACAGTTGTACATGACTGCGAAATGCAGAGGCGTTCGACCTTGACTATCTTGTATGTCGATGTTAATTTTGACTTTCGTCGAGTTCAATAGATATAACAAGATCGATGACTGCTCCTGAGCAGAAAAAAGAATTTCATTGCATTTAACGGTAACAAAGAATATATTAGTAACTATAGCTTACAGTCTGTAACGGCCTATTAATTTCCGTTAAGCGAGCAGCAATATGCAACGGTGTCTCACCATCCCAACCAAATAGATTAACATCTTGAGAAAACAAAACTTTTAGCAACAAGTCAGCAGAGCTACTGTGAGGAAAATATAGTAGGAACAGAAGGGAATAGCGATTTTTTCGTTGTGAATTATAATATTCAATTATAATTATGCTTTTAGTAGAAAAAAAAATTTAAGAATCTTACTGCAATTGTAGATCTCAATGAGACATCGGCAGAAAGGGACATTATTGAAAAGAACTCCATAGTGTAAAATCGCGTACTGATCCGATTCATTGAGTTTCTCTAACATTTTCGTCATCTGTGATTTGTTGTAGCCATGTTCTTTTTGAATTTTATTTAGCCGTTCCTTTATCTGCGTTTGGTTAAAACCACGAGATGCTTCTAGTTTGTCCACAATTTCCTCGATCTCTTCCTCACTAGTGTAGTGATGCCCTATTTGACTCTTTACCATGTTTCGAAATTGTTTTCTACTATAACCATTTTGTATCTTATTGAACATGCTGATTATTTGAGGATCGACGTCTGGACATGGAGAACAAGCGATCTAAAAATGAATAGTTTCTTCTTGAATATCCGAATGAAACGACAAGTAACTAATCTCTTGCCTGTTTCAGTTCCACTATAATATTGTGATGTGCCGTCTTTTCGATTGGTTCTTCAAATTGATTCTTTGAATCAATCGTGTTATCATTTTGTGAAAATACGATATTTGAATGCATTTCTATTTGTATTTTCGTTCTTGGATTTCGTTTGATGTCGTCAAATAAGTGTTATGGTAAATATGCGATATGTTTATAGTAAAACAAAATCTTTCACTATATGAAGAACATGAAAAATGCTGGTTTAATGAATTTTGTTCTGTTTCGTTTCGTTTCGTTTCTTTTTTCTACGTAATTTGAGTTTGATGAAGAGAGAAAAATCCCATGCAACACTCTATCAATAAAATAAAACAAACAACATTTAACAAAGTTGAGTAAACAAACCACGTAGAAACGAATAATAATGGCAATATGCAAGGGTGAGAGTGAGGATTAAATAGCATAATTATTAAGCTCACTTATACACAAATCCTCAAGATGCAAGCAGCAGATTCTTTCTGATTCTAAGAATCGGAAGAAATCGTTTTTTCTCCCTTGCCTACAACTGCCCACACCCTGACAAATGGATCGTTTCTCGTGGGAAGTGACAAAAATAATGACTCGTCTCTACGCGTTTTATTCTTGTAAAAAACGTGTAAAAGCGCGTATTTTCATGGAGAATACTGTAAAAGGCGTAGTAAAACTTTAACAAGTTTATTCGCGCTAAAATTTTACCATCTTGAGGGTGAGGGTGAGGGTGTGGGTGTGGGTGAGGATGTGGGGTGTGAGGGTGAGGGTGTGGGTGTGGGTGAGTATGTGGGGTGTGAGGGTGAGGGTGTGGGTGAGGGTGTGTGGGTGTGAGTTTGAAATGACGATGTAAAGGAATTCAATTAAAATAATCATTTCATGTGTCCACGAAAACATACAAGACATTTCAGTAGATGTATCCACAGAGACATGCTTGGATAAATACGAAAAACTT